CTCTCTCTCTCTCTCTCTCTCTCTCTCCCTTACAATACAATACAATACAATAGCAGAGTTGGAAGGGACCTTGGAGGTCTTCTAGTCCAACCCTCTGCCTAGGCAGGAAACCCTATACCATTCCAGACAAATGGCTATCCAACATCTTCTTAAAGACTTCCAGTGTTGGGGCATTCACAACTTCTGGAGGGAAGCTGTTCCATTGATTAATTGTTCTAACTGTCAGGAAATTTCTCCTCAATTCTAAGTTGCTTCTCTCTTTGATTAGTTTCCACCCATTGCTTCTTGTTCTACCCTCTTGTTATACTTAAATGGATTTAAGTACCATGAGCAGACATGTCAAGCAGTAATTGTATCCTATTATCTTCACTAATGGTTCGGGAGTGGGAACGCACACGCAAAAGGTCCGTGATGATGTCTGCGTGGGTGGACGGAGTCTCGTACCGTTGCCACTACCAGTTTTCTAAAACCAGTGCGAACCGGCAGCATACCACCTCTGATGTCAAGGCCCTCTAACTCAGTGGTGGGTTGAAGGCGGTATGCCCTGGTACGGGCGTACCGGAGCCTGTCTGGAGCACCGGATACCGTTCTGGTAAGGTGCTGCGGAGGGCCCACCTGCCCGCCCGAGCTCCTTACCGGTATTTTAAGTCTTCGGCACTTCAGCGGTCACACACGGCGCGTACAGCACCTGCGCGACGCTCCACTGAGCAGCTGGAATGGGATCCGGAACCCACCACTGCTCTAACTGCACACTTCTGCATTTGCTCCTCCTGTCTTTCTAACAACACACTACGCACAGAATTTCCCTTTCTTGTTTTCCAACTTACCGGTTATCTGAATCACGAGTTTCCCCGTCACGTCCCATCAACAAGTATTCTTTGCCTGCAGCCAAGCGGGTCTTGCAAGCTTCCCGAACTACAAAGCGACGGATCTGGCCAATTTCAATTCTGGAGTCCGTAGCTACAGAGGGAAAGAAATCTAAGGCTGAAAAATCTGGGAGGGGGAGCGGGGGGATGAAGTCATCTAACAAGGTGGTGTGCTTTTTCACCGGCTCTATTTCTACAGATGGTCCTTGACTTATGACTGCAATTGAGCCCAAAATTTCTGTTGCGAAGCGAGACAGTTGTTAAGTGAGTTTTCCCCATTTTACGACCTTTCTTGCCACAGTTGTTAAGTCAATCGCGGGGGGGGGGGAGGGTTTTGGACATTGGGGATTGTTTTCAATACAGATAGTCCTCAACATACGGCCACGATGGAGCCCAAGATTTATGCTTGCTAAAGGAGACATTTGTTAAACGAGACATTTGCCCCATTTTACAACTTTTCTTGCCACTGTTGTTAAGTCAATCACTGCAGTTCTTGAACACGGTTGTTAAGTGAAACCAGTTTCCCTATTGACTTTGTTGGTTGGATGGTCGCAAAGTGGGATCGCATGACCCTGAAACACTGCAACTGTCATAAATATGAGTCACTTGCCAAAAGTCTGAATTTTGATCATGTGACCATGCACTCAGCATCTCTAGTAAAAGTATCTCTTCTCTAAATCTTATGTAGTCGAAGGTCTCTCTTTCCTAGGGATTAAGCTGGGGGCCAGTCTGACAGTGGGCTGGGCTTAGATCTCTTGTGAGCGTGAAGGGATTCAAAACTGATGACACATTTGACCCCTCTCTTCGGTTCAACCTGATAATCTCCTATAGCCGTTATGGCGAACCTCTGGCATGCGTGCCACAGGTGGCACGCAGAGGCCCCTCTGCGGGCACACCAGCCATTGCCCTAGCCTAGCTCCAGCGCACATGCACACACACCTCCTGCTGGCCAGCTGGTTTTTGGGTCTCTGCAGTGCATGTGCAGGAGGTGGGGCGCATGTGGGGAACACATGCACACATACAGTACATGGGGAGGTGGAGTGCATGTGCGGGGGTGCTCGCATTGCATTTTGGTGGTTTGTGTGCATGTGTGCCAGTGGTGGGTTGCAGGAGGTATGCCCCGGTACAGGCATACCAGAGCCTGCCCGGAGTACCGGATACCGTTCCGATACGGTGCTCCGGAGGGCCCACCCGCCTGCCTGAGCTCCTTACTGGTCTTTTAAGGCCTCCGCGCATGGGCATGGCACATACAGCACCTACGTGACACTCTGCTGAGCAGCTGGAATGTTGCGGAGGCGCTAAGGTGCATGCGCGCACTGTGTGCGTCCATGTGGACGCCACCGGGCCCATTCCAACCATATTGGTTGGAATGGGATCCGGAAGCCACCACTGATGTGCGCGCTACCCCCGCACCAGGGGTGGGTTTCTCGCCCCGTTCCAACCGGTTCGGTTGGAACGAGGCCGGCGGCGTCCTCGCGCACGTGTGCGGCGTCCTCGCGCACGTGCACGGCATCCTCGCGCACGTGCATGACGTCCTCGCGCATGCGCGCGGCACACGCATGCGTACTAGCGTCTGTGCGATGCTCCAGCTGTTCCTGGAGGATCGCGCAGGCGCTGTATGCGTCCTGCGCATGCGTGGAAGCGCAGAATTCATCAAAACCGGGTAAGGAGCGGGCGCGGGCGCGCGGGTGCGTGCGGGCGCGGGGGGGCCCTTCGCCGTTCCCGGAAGTTACTTACTTCCGGGTTCGGCGACCAACCAGATCGCAGGGACCGCCGCGAACCGGTTGAAACCCACCCCTGCCCCGCACCCTGTTTTGGGCCTGGGAGGCCTCCTTCACCAACCTGGAAGCCAAAACAGGGCACAGGGGTGCCGTGCGTGGCACTCCCTCGCACTCCATTTTGACCTTGGAAAGCCTGCTGCATCAACCTAGAAGCCAAAATGGTACAAAGGGAAGGTGGGGTGTATGTATGGGGGATGCACATGTGTGGGGGGGGGGGCGGATGCATGAGTGAAGGGCGCTCACATTGCATTTTGGAGTTGTACGTGTGCGCTGTGGGCACCAAAAAGATTAGCCATCACTGTCCTACAGTAATGAAGCTGAGGCAACAAAAAAGGAAGCTACTCACTGAATTGCAGGGGCGCCTTGATTTTAACGTCATAGACCCGGAAGGCGCTTTCTCGGCTCTCGCGCTCCACTCGAACCAGGAACGCTGTGAAGAGGAGACAAAAGCCGTCATCTTTTGCCCTGCTGACGGTCAGAATGAGGGATTTTTCCAGATCATCAAGTTCAAGTGTTGTCCCCTCAGGCAGCAGCACAGAAGGTGACACCCACATTACCAATCCTTCTAAAGCAGGGCTGTCAAACTCAAGGCCCGCGGGCCACATTCGGCCCACGGGGTGCTTAGATTTTGCCTGCGGGGCCGCTGTGGAAACAGCAAAAGACCTGCCCGCGGTGCCTCTGTCAGCAAAAACAGAGCTCAGGAGGGCCACACACAACCCTACCGAACTCCGTTTTTGCTGGTAGAGGTTGCAGGAGGCTGTTGCAGCTGAAGGGGGAGCTGGATCAGGAGCCCGTTTTTGCTGGCAGAGTGCTCAGGCTGACATAGGCGCCCCCGACAGGAGTGATGTCGAGCTGGCCACACCCACCCCGGCCCCCTGAGGTCAAACACAGCCCTGATGCGGCCCTCAATGAAATCGAGTTTGACAACCCTGGGCTAAAGTAACAAGTCCAGCAAACGGTGCTGACTTATTTTTTTGAGGTCAAGTTAACCAAAGGGAGTGACGGATTCTTCTGGCTTTGTTTTCTGTCCCACTTAAACATCACTGAGCAGCAAGGGGGAGAAACGCTACTAACCACTTCTTTTAATTTGGAGGGGACGGGTCAAATTTGGATGGAATCTTAGAAGAAGGGGTTGGCCCACCTGCCAAATTTCCCAGCTAATAGGTGATAGGTGCTACAAGACCTCATTCTTGATGAAACTGGTCAACCTCCACCTACAAACTATCATGGAGGCTATTTCTGAGCAAGGGCTCTTCTTCATTAAAATTCCCTTGGTTCATTTGCTTTACTGGCAGCTTTTTAAGTTCACAAGCTCTCCTCCATGGAAACAATAGAGGAGACAGGGAGGGAGGGGTGAGAGAGGGGGAAGAGAGAGAGAGGGAGGGAGAGAGAAAAAGAGAAAAGAGAGAAAAGAGAGAGAGAAGAGAGGGGGAGAAAGAGAAGAGAGAGAGAAGAGAGAGGGAGGGAAGGAGAGAGAGAGAGAAAGAGGAGAGAGAGAAGAAAAGAGGGGGAGGGAAGAGAAGAGAAGAGAAAGGGAAGAAAAGAGGGGGGAGAGAAAAGAGAGAAGAGAGACTAAGGGAGAAAGAGAAAAGGGGGAGGGAGAGATGAGAGAGGGATAGAGAAAGAGAAAGAGAAAGAGGAGACAGGGAAGAGAGAGAGAAAGAGAAGAGAGAAGGAAAGAGGATGAAGAAAGAGAAAAGAGAGGGAGAGAGAAAGAGGGGAGAGAGGGAAGAAAAGAGAGAAAGAAGAGAGAGAGGAGTGGGGAGGAGAGAGAGAAGAGTGAGGGAGAGAAAGAGAGAAAGAGGAGAGAGTGGGAGGGAAAGTGAAGAGAGAGGGAGAGAGAGAGAGAAAGAGGAGAAAGAGAAGAGAGAGGGAGGAGAGAAAGAGAGAGAAAGGTGAGAGTGGGAAGAGAAAGAGAAAGAGGAGAGAGAGAGAAGAAAGGAGGGGGAAGAAAGAGAAAAGAGAGAGAAGAGAGAGGGAGGGAGAGAGAGAAAGAAGAGAGACAGAAGAATGGGGAGGAGAGATAGAAGAGAGTGTGAAGGAGAGAAAGAGAGAAAGAGGAGAGATAGGGAGGGAAAGTGAAGAGAGAGAGAGGAGAGAGTGAGAGAGAGAGAAAGAGAAAGAAAGAGGAGAGAGAAGAGAGAGGGAGGGAGAGAGGAGACAGAAAGAGAAGAGAGGGAGGAGGAAGAGAGAGAGAGAAGATTGGGGGAGGGGGAGAGTAAAGATTTTGCAAAACTGCCAGTCTCGGTCTGATCACTAGGCAGCTCCTCTCATGCCAATATTGACCAAAACATTTTCAGAAATGAAATGAGGCCAGGTGAAGGAAGGGAAAAGACACAAGGAACTGAATTATGAGATATATGTACTAGGTCTTCACAGGTGTGAGCATAAGCAACATTTGCAGGTTTCCAGGGGAGAAAATTGAAATCAGTTCAAGATATACAGGCCGCAGAGGGTGAGGCTGCCAGGACCAATCCCATCTCTTACCGTAATGCACACGGGGACTGTAACAGGCAAAGTTCATCCGGTTCTCTTCTGTGATGGCATCCTCCAGCGTTCGCTTCAAACGTGGGCAGGCACCTGTTTGGCAGAAGAAATAGCAATAGCAATAGCAGTTAGACTTATATACCGCTTCATAGGGCTTTCAGCCCTCTCTAAGCGGTTTTACAGAGTCAGCATATCGCCCCCACAGTCTGGGTCCTAATTTCATCCACCTCGGAAGGATGGAAGGCTGAGTCAACCTTGAGCCGGTGAGATTAGAACTGCTGAACTGCAGATAATAGTCAGCTGAAGTGGCCTGCAGTACTGCACCCTAACCACTGCGCCACCTCGGCTCTTATGGTCCGATTCCTGGATACCCCTTTGATTAAAGGGGAAGGAATCCAGCATCTCACTTCAAGATGGCTGAGAAAACCATCTGATTTCTTTAGAGAGGAACATGGGAATTTAGGCTGTTGCTTTAATGAGTAAAGAATGGAAAAAGTGGACAAAACAACGGAACATTTGCATTGTTTTTACACCCTCAAAGAGCCTTTTCAAACATGGTAGCAGAAGTGGGTTGCTGCCGGCTCGACTGAACCGGTAGTGGAATTCAGGCCTGGGCTGCAGAACCGGCAGCAATCCAGGCCTGACACGCCCCTGAACTGATTCCCTCGCCGCCGTTGAGGTTGCCGCCATGTTGGATTTTAGTGACTGCGCGTGCACAGTTTGCTATAAATTGTTCTGTATATGTGCACCAGAGATTGATTCTGACTGGTTTGGACCGGTTCAGCTGAACCAGTAGTGGTTTGGGGGCCTGGGTCGCTGGAAATTTTTGTGCGCACTGAACCCAGCATTAATGCTGGGGGCAACCCACCCCTGATAGGCGCAGAACAATTTACATTGAACAGGGCATGTGCACGCAGCGTGCGGGTTACAAAGCAATAGCAAAACCGGCAGCAACCCACTCCGGCATAGTAGCTATTTTGGCATCAATCATCAGAAATGCTACACCCGTGATGGCGAACCTATGGCACACGTGCCACAGGTGGCACATGTAGCCATTTGTTAGGGCACGCAAGGTGTTGCCCTGTCAGCTTCAGCAGGCATACGCACGCTGGCCAGCTGACTTTGGCCTTCTTTTGAGGCCATTTTCCACCCTCTGGAGGCTTCCTTGAACCTACAGGCAAACCGGAAGTTTGGGAACAGACTTCTGGTTTGCTTGTAGGACTGTTTTTTGCCCTTGGGAGCCTTCGGGAGCCTTCAGGAGACTTCCGGTTTGTCCGTAGTGCTGTTTTTCGCCCTCCAGAGCCTTCAGGAGACTTCCGGTTTGCCCGTAATGCTGTTTTTCGCCCTCCAGAGCCTTCAGGAGACTTCCCTGAAGGCTCTGGAGGGTGAAAAACGGGTCTATGAGCAAACCAGAAGTCACTGTTCCCTAACGTCTGGGTTACCCAAAGGGCCATTTAACCCCCTCCGGAGGCTTCAGGGAAGCCCCTGAAGCCTCCGGAGAGTCTCCAGGGGGAGCAGTGGAGGCTGTTTTCGCCCTCCCCAGGCTCCTAGAAAGTCTCTGGAGCCTGGGAAGGGTGAAAAAAGCATGCCAAAAGCAGGGGGGGGGAGCGCTAATCGCGCATGCATGCACACTGAGTTGTACACATAGCATTATGGGTATGGCAAGCCCGCGCACGCCCCCCCTACCCTCCCCCCGCTTTTGGCACGCGATCCCAAAAAGGTTAGCCATCACTGTGCTGTACTGACTATTAGGGATGGGTACATGAGCAAACATATATTTAAAGACTGGGGTGACAGTTGTGATATGGACATCTACCAGACCTTGGATAGAGCGTTTCCTTTGTCCAGCTATCAGGTGGCTCCAAGCGGAATGGGGCCAACTTGCCACAGTCACCTTGCTGTGGCCAACTCTCCATGGCTAATTCACTGCGGCCAACTCAACACGGCCAACTTGCGGTAGGACAACTCGCCATGGGGCAACTCTGCGGGACAATTGACTGCAGGACAATTTATCAATTCAATTATTTGTTTTAATTTTTGCCATTCAGATTTCATTCTGTCCCTCCTTTTGCAACCTTTCTTTAATGATTCTGTTCCACCGTTTCTTTGATATCAGTGTAACTCGTGTCCCGCAGCAAGTTGGCTGTAGTGAGTTGGCTGCAACGAATTGTCACAGACCCACTTCCAAGTGACAGCAGATCAGCTGCATTATTTTAAATAACCCTTGCAAAATCTACCTTTCCAGTTAATCATGTGGAAGTAAACTTGGGTTGTATTTGTGCTTTGGAGGGAGGAGGGCAGTCCATGGGACCAAGTGTTCATCTGAATTTAGAGAGCTTAAAATCATTGATCTAAAATCCAGATAATTTTACCTTCAGCACACTGACAGACATCCTCTGAGCACAATGCGGACACATATTGTGGCTTATTGGGAGCACCGTAGAAGATGCTGCAACGTTGATCTACAAGAGGGAGAGTGGAAAGGTCAGAGGGACATAATGCATGTAGTACGCAACTTACAACCACAATTGAGCCCAAAATTTGTTAAGTGAGTTTTGCCCCATTTTATGACTTTTCTTGCCACATTCGATAAGTGTGAATCACTGCAGTTGTTAAGTTAGTAACATGGTTGTTAAGCTTCCCCATTGACTTTAGAATAGAATAGAGTAACAGAGTTGGAAGGGACCTTGGACGTCTTCTACCCAACCCCAACCTGCCTCCCTCCCCCCCCCCCAGCTCACAGGAAACCTATACCATGTTTCCCCGAAAATAAGACAGGGTCTTATTTTTTGTGACCACCGAAATAAGCACTTGGCCTTATTTTTGGGGAGGTCTTATAATTTTTTAAAATGTAAATGTATTTTTATTTTCCATTTTCATTTTCGTACAGTCACATATATACTGTGCATAACCGGGGCCATATAACATTAAACAATAAACACAGCCATTCCTCTTATCAGCAGTACCCCCAAAAATAAAAACCCAATGTACCTCTTCAACCCTCCATACACCCTTTCTTTCGCCCCCCCTCCAACTTTCCATCTTCCCTCCATCATTCCCCTCTACCCTACTTTTGGGGAGGTCTTATAATTTTTGAGGTGCAGGAAGTGGAGAGTGTGGTCACTTCATGGCTACTGCTGTTCTGAAATATTTTCGGGGAGGGTTTATTTTCAGGGAGGGCTTATTTTAGCACATGCACTCAATAATTATCTGGAGAGGTCTTATTTTCAGGAAAACAGGGTAGCACTTCAGACAAATGGTTGTCCAATCTCTTCTTAAAAACTTCCAGTGTTAGAGCATTTACAACTTCTGGAGGCAAGGTGTTCCACTGATTAATTGTTTTGACTGTCAGGAAATTTCTCCTTAGTTCTAAGTTGCTTCTCTCATTGATTAGTTTCCACCCATTGCTTCTTGTCCTGCCCTCAGGTGCTTTGGAGAATAGCTTGACTCCCTCTTCTTTGTGGCAGCCCCTGAGATATTGGAAGACTGCTATCATGTCTCCCCTAGTCCTTCTTTTCATCAGACTAGACATACCCAGTTCCTGCAACCATTCTTCCTATGTTTTAGTCTCCAGTCCCCTAATCATCTTTGTTGATCTTTCAACACTCTTTCTAGAGTCTCCACATCTTTTCTACATCGTGGCAACCAAAACTGGATGCAGTATTCCAAGTGTGGCCTTACCAAGGGATTATAAAGTGGTATTAACACTTCACATGATCTTGATTCTATCCCTCTGTTTATGCAGCCTAGAACTGTGTTGGTTTTAATAAACTAATATTGACTAATAATAAACTAATACACTGTGTAACACACTTAAGGACAGCAGTGATTCACTTAACAACTGTTGTAAAAACTCTTGTAAAATCAGATCTGACTTGACTGACGACTGCCACGATTTATGACTGAAATTCTGCTCCCAATTGTGGTCGTACGTTGAGAACTGCCTGTACTATAAAATTAGCGTACTTTTTGAAACAGTCTTTACAAATAATCAGTCATGCTTGTTCTGGAGACATCACAACATGTCTGACACACCAATTGTGCCCCACCAGAGACTGATTTGTTTTTTAAAGGAATCCCACCAGCTCCCCTCCCTCTCCTCATCTGTTGTTTGCTTTGACTTACGGGGTTCGTAGAAGTCATAGACGGTGGCGCTGGCTGGTTGTAGTTTTCCTACAGATACTACCTGTTTAGCCCTGAAAGCGATACACTCACGGCCGGTTTGTGGTGCCTGGAAACACAAATAGATATTTAAACTTCAAATATTATATTCTACCTTTCTGTACAGAGCCGAGGTGGCGCAGTGGTTAGAGTGCAGTACAACAGGCTACTTCTGCTGCCTGCCGGCTGCCTGCAATTTGGCAGTTCGATTCCCACCAGGTTCAAGGTTGACTCAGCCTTCCAGTCTTCCTGATTGCGAGGCGAGAGTGCCACCTCTAGGCCACAACACCATTCTGCCTTGCCTTCTCCAACCGCCCCTCTGAATATATTGATTTGTAGAAAATCCTCCCACCTGGTCAAAATACAGGAGCAGCCGTTGTCCTTGAGTCTCCCAGTGGTTGATGTATTGGTCAGGGACCTCTTGCAACTGCAGAGAAGGGAGGGATGGAAAAGCCATAAGGAATAGATCAAGCAAGCAGATCTCCCAAATTGCAGTTGATGAATGTTTTCCTGCCAGCTATCAACACTGGGAAAGCAGGAGGGTGCCAAGAGCAGATGGTGTAACCATTAGGTTCATATAACAGACTCCGGAAGCCTGAAATCCAGGCATCGCTCCCCAACAGAGAGCCAGAAGAGAGTTGACTGAAGCAGGATGGTGACATTTCCCCCCTTATTCCAACAGCAAGAGGGTAGGCAAAGATGTACCATCAGTTTAACTCAGGGGTCTCCCAACTTGGCATCTTTAAGACTTGTGGACTTCAACTCCCAGAATTCCCCAGCCAGCATAACCGGCTGAGGAATTCTGGGACTTGAAGTCCACAAGTCTTAAAAGTTGCCAAGTCCGGAGACCCCTGGTTTAATTTTCTGCCAAGACACGGAGAAATCCCGACTTCTCAGTGTTTCAGCCTCCAGTCTCTGTTTCACCCATTTAAATGGGGACAAGTTGGGGACATCCAAGAGTTTCTGCCAGGGAGGTAGATATGAGTAACTACACTTCCCCAGTATTAACGGCTGTGGTGGTGCAGTGGTTAGAATGCAGTATTGCAGGCTACCTCTGCTCACATTGCCAGGGGTTCGATTCCCTCAATCCTGACGGGCTGAAGATTGACTTGGCCTTCTGAGGTGAGTACAATGAGGACATAGATTGTTGCAGGACAATATGCTGATTCTGTAAACTTCTTAGAAAGAGCTGTAAAGTACCATGTGTCACTTTGTAAAGCATTTCCATGCCTATTATCAAGTTGACATTGGGAGAGAAGGGAGGGAGAATTCCACGCAAACCTTCAACCAGGGTCGGATCTCAGATTTCTACAGCAGGCATGTGAGGCGCGAAATTTTATAACCTGCTGCAGCCCTTCACTGGTGGTTGTGATTTATGACACAGATTGAGGGGAGGGGAGACACAGGGGTAAAGTTCAGCCACCATGTTAGTAACATGGTTGTTAAGCTTCCCCATTGACTTTAGAATAGAATAGAGTAACAGAGTTGGAAGGGACCTTGGAGGTCTTCTACCCAACCTCAACCCCAACCTGCCCATCGCCACCCCCCATCTCACAGGAAACCTATACCATGTTTCCCCGAAAATAAGACAGGGTCTTATTTTCTTTTGACCACCGAAATAAGCACTTGGCCTTATTTTTGGGGAGGTCTTATAATTTTTGAGGTGCAGGAAGTGGAGAGTGTGGTCACCTCATGGCTACTGCTGTGCTAAAATATTTTCGGGGAGGGTTTGTTTTCAGGGAGGGCTTATTTTAGCACATGCACTCAATAATTATCTGGGGAGGTCTTATTTTCAGGAAAACAGGATAGCACTTCAGACAAATGGTTATCCAATCTCTTCTTAAAAACCTTCGATGTTAGAGCATTTACAAGTTCTGGAGGCAAGGTGTTCCACTGATTAATTGTTTTGACTGTCAGGAAATTTCTCCTTAGTTTTAAGTTGCTTCTCTCCTT